ATATCCCTTTGGCCTCTTTGGGTCAGCTGTCTCCCAGCTTCTTGTGCACCTCTTCGCTGGCAGAGTACAGGAAGCTGAAAAGTCCTTGACTTAGTATAAACACTGCTTAGCAACAACTAAAACATTGGTGTGTTATCACATTATTCTCATGCTAAATCCAAAACACAGCACTATGCCAGCTACTAGGAAGAAAATTAACTCTATCCCAGCCGAAACCAGGACAAACAAATAATAAGCACCCATCTTAATGTCAGATCTAGATTTACAGTTTTAGGATCGATAAGTAAAATATTTCAGAAAATAATTTTCTGCATATAGAATGAACATACTGGATTATTTGAAATATATTATAGATCAGAAACAAAACATACATAATTTGATTAAAGTATTTCTTGGGTTTTTTCTTCTTTTACTGGAACAAAGTATCATCTAAGAGAAGGGGGAGGTAATTATCTATCAGTCAGTATGTCAGAACTGTTTGTTGTATGGATAATGGTATATTTTTACAAAAAATTGCAGGGTGAGTATAAAAGCCAGATCTATCGTTCATTACAATGGACAGATGATAATATTATGCTTTCAATATGAGGGCGGTGGCTGAATGTGACAGCAGAAATTTTCTTGACTAAAATTGAGAGAGAGTTATTTGCTGCAAATGTCAAGGAATTTAGGGCAATATTATATATTCAGCATTTTATCAAAACTCCACAGTCAACCCAAGCGGATAATCCTACTAATAACTTATGCCACCTTTATAATTAATGTGACTAAATAAAAGGTTAATATGAGGCAGTTGTATCAGACTACCTACAGATGGCAGGTATATTCACTATATATAATTATGCTTCAAACAGAAAGTATCATAGTGTTTGACTGAACAAGCAAAAGGTATAATTTAAAAAAAAAAATTGTGTTTAAAAAGTTATTAAATTATTGCTTTAACAACTTCATAAAACTCAGCTGTATTTTTCCTCTCTTTCAGCCCTTGTGAGGACAGGTCATACAACAACTGAGCATTCTTGAACAAACAGGCATCTGTTTTGCTCTACAGAAACCTTGCAGGAGCTCACAATTCCCACAAACTGCACCACAGGGAACCAATACTTATTAGTTGAACAGCACTGTAGATGTTCTACTGTATTTTCCAGTAGAGCATTTTTCACTGAAGTCGTGTTTTTAATCATTCAGTTCAGTGGGAGTAAATTCCCTGCTGTGCATTCACAGAGTAGAAAAAGGCAACGTTCACAAAAGAAGAGCGGAACAAAATACAAATGAGTGCTTCAAAATCTAGTTACAGAGCAAGATCAAATTTTATTTCATAAGGAAGTTACAAGCAATAAAGCTTTCCCCGTATCGCCTTGCCTAGTTCTATTTTACCTGTAAATCCAGACATTGAAAAATAGAGACTATGGGCAAAGTAGCTGGCCTGAGGCAGAAAATTTTGCAGCCCGTGGGAGCTCTGTCTATACCTACATGTCTGATAGCAGAATAACCAGTTAGATTTGCAAGAACAAGACAGCAGTTCCCTGAAACCGAGAGAAATTACTTTGGGACAGATCCAAAGAGGATAGGCACAGTGACATAACTTCCAAGCTCCTAGACCTTCAAGAGCAGGAATTCACCTGCCCAAAACCAGTTTCTCTATACAGGAAGTATAGGAAGGGAAATAGACACCTTGGAGGAATACCAAAAATATCTACATGCTGGACAGGAGAGTAACTAGATTAAAAAAATATTTTATATGAGTCTGACGAATTTCCAGAACTTAGAAGAAAGTGAGCAGAAACATTCAAATTCCAGAATCTTTGGCTAAGAACGGGCATCCATTTCTCTTTAAAATTATAGAATAAAAAAGGAGGATGGGTGCATTTAGCATTTTCCCAGGCTTCAGAACAAATCTCCTGAGGTTAGAACTGACATAACCCTGAGAGCCTGAATCCATCCAAGAATCTCTAATTTCTAGGCCACAGTGTCATATTCTTCTGTGGCTGGCTGGCTTACATTTTTTGGTGCACAGTGAGACAACTTAAACAGGGGGATCGAAGCACTAACCGTGGTGGTTGGTGCACTGTCCAGGGAAGTGGAAGATGTGGGGTTTCAAAACTGAGAATACAGTCCTCTCGCGTCCTGAGTAAATGATCTGGTCAGCAGGCTGTGTTATAAAAACCAAAGTGGTTGCAGGAGCAAAACAGCAGCAGCCATGCTTCCCGATGTTTCTTTTTCAAGTGATCATAATTGTTGTTTTTTCCACTGAGTGCCAAGTTGGGTAGGACATTGTACAATTATGAGTTTGCAAGGCCCATTTATCTCACAGTTTCTTTAAATTGTATCTGATCTTGCAAGCCTTGCTCCTGCGTGTGTCACTAAGCAAATTAGACTGTTTCTAACAAATCACTCATCTTTTTCTTACTCATCTTACCACCAGTTTGCAAAGAAAGGTTCACAGTCACTTATAAAGGACAGACTGTAGGTTTTACCTCTGCTATAAAATTGTAATTACCAGTTTGCAAAGAAAGGTTCACAGTCACTTATAAAGGACTTATAAAGACTGTAGGTTTTACCTCTGCTATAAAATTGTAATTTTGTTTGGTACTAGATACTTTCCTTCAATATTGATATTGTCGCTCCAGCATAGAAAGCTCTAAGAGGAAAATTCATGTATAGCTTTTCTTCCCAAATGATATTTTTATTTTTAGCCATCAAATGCAATGCTTTTTCCAAGGTCAGTCTAAGCACCTGGATTTGCCCCTGGTTAAACCACTTCATTTATATCATGAAGTGTCTGAAAAATATTTTAAGTGGAAATGTCTTTTATTTTTAAAGGATTTGTTTTACCAAATGATTTCTCAGCAACTAGAATGAGCTGCTTTTGTATCTTAGACAGGAAGCAAATGAAAATGCACATATGAAATGAACCCTTCTACATTTCTATGCTTTACACCAGGGCAGCCTATAGGCATGTGAAATAATTTTAGTTTTATTCTGCTTGAATAAGATACAAAGAAATGTCAACTATATATATATTTATTTCTGTGGCCAGTCTCCCAGGAAAGAAATGTTTTTCTTTCATGTGCTAGA